AACATGTGACACCTTAAGTATTTCCAAGATTCATCTCAGCGTGAGTGAGCTTAGTGCAGAGTTACAAAAGCTCAGAGACTGCAACCCTGTCCCCACAGGGACCCCTGCCTTCCCTGCTTCTCAGTCACATGGCAGTGATTGAAGTCGGGGACCCCAAACCTGGCTAGCCCTTTGACTCTCCTGGGAAGGTTAAAAGGCAGCATGTGGGCCTCTTCCTGAGACCTTTGTTATATTATTATATTTTATTATATTATTAATAAATATATATTTATATATTAATAAAATAATATATTATTATATTCTGTGTGTTTAGGCTGAGTCTAAGAAGTTGAGTTGAAAGCAGTGAAGTTTGAGAACCTTGGCTTGTTCAAGTTTCCCTTTTTAAACTTTTTATTTGGAAAAAATATATACTTACAAAAAAGTTGCAAAAATAGCACAGAAAGTTGCCTTATATCCTTGCCCCAGGTTGCCCTAATGTTAACGTCTTGCATAGTGTAGGGCAATTTATCAAAACAAAGAAATGGACATTGACACAATACTATTAATGAAACTACAGGCTGGATTCAGGTTTCGCCCCTGTTTCCACTAAGGTCCTCTCTCCCTTCCATGCTGCTGCCCAGGATCTCACACTGCACTGAGGCATCGTGTCTCCTCTTACCTGTGGAGGCCATTTCATGACCTTGACACTTTTGAAAAGTACTGGCCAGTTATTTTGTAGAATGCCTGTCAATTAGGAAACCTCTACTTTCAATGCATAGGATTTGATGTGTGTGTGTGTGTGTGAGAGAGAGAGAGAGAGAGAGAGAGATGGAGGATAGAAATAAGGAAAAAAACAAACTCAGATGGTTAAATAATTGACATTGACCAATTATTTGACGAAACCCCACAGAAAATCTTGCATTGAATCACTAAGAACTATACACCATAAAGCGATTTACTATATTTAAGTCCAAAGGGCATGCCTGGACCCGGCATCTTCCCCCTCAGCAGGCAGGTTCCCCGAGGGACAGGGAGTGTGTAAATGGGCAGTTTTGAAGAGCAGCAGGGCCAGTTGGCTCCCAACTACAAGACACACATGTGTAAGACACCATGAAGTTCCACTATTAGTCCCTATTATCTTAGACACACTGCTGTCATTATACTTGGCAGAAAATCTTTAGACTCTTAGAAATCACAAGAAAAAAAAACCCAACAGAATGATTTATTTCCATTGTTTGATATTACGTGCAAAAAATGAAAAACAGTCTGTCAGTGAGCCAAGTGAAGGAACACAAAAAATGGATTCTGCGACCTGGAAGTAAAACTCAGTGCATTTTGCAACCATGTGAAAGATGGGTAGACGATGCCCCGCCAGGTTTCAGCAGGACATAGCTCTTTCCAGGTTGGGCTGAGTCAAACATCCTGGCTCAAATTCTCCTCTGATGCTTACTGTGTGTACTTGGGCCAGGGACTCCATCTCTGCCATTTACTCACTTCCTGGGGAGATACCCATCTCATAGGCTTCCCGCAAATATCAAATGGAATAATCCATGTTCCAACTCAGCAGACTGTGGCCACCATTGCCGTTATTCTCAGATTCAACTCCTTTTAGCGAACAGTCATCTGAGAGTACTTTGTAGGATTAAAATTCATTTTCACCTCTAGGAGGGTAGGAAATGAGAAAAAGGACTAAGGTTTTGTCCATGTCCCCAGACACCCCGTGCTGCCTGTTGACGCAGAGGCGCCCCTGTGTCAGATCCCACTGCTGTGACTGCTGCATGAGAGCTGTCACAGTGCCCGGTACAGAGTGGCTGCTGGTGCCAGCAGAGTGACCCACGCCGTCTATGGAAGAGCTGCGAGGCAGACAGAGATAAACATTTCCACGGTCTGTTCTCTGTTAAGCAGCTGCGGGGAGGGGAGGCAGTCGCATGTGACAGGCTGGGGAGCTCCAGCCAGCGCATTTGTAAGTGGGAAGCAGGAATGGGGAGTGGAAAGGGGCCCAGACATTATCTTATCAGACGTAAGCCAGTCCCCCTACCCTTAGCACTTGAGAAATCCTCTGTGTGTGATGGAAGGCTTGTGTCTGTTGTACAGGCCCCACACTCTGCCAGACTCCGTTTGCTGGTCCCCTCGTTCTCTTATGTCCTCAGCCCTCTTTTGCTTTCAGAAGCGAGAGCCAGCTGTCTGTCTGGACAGGGTCTGCAGATTCTTCACAGCATGTCCTGGTCAGCCCCCGGCCTCCCTGGCGCCAATACTTGGCTCAAGTAACGTTTGCTAGAGTGAGTGAGTGAACTGATGAGCAGACAGATGGATGAACGGACACCCAAAGAGCCCTTTCTGTGCATGATTTGAACTGGGGTACAAAACCGATTTTAACTGATTACCTTCATTTCACTTCTTTAAGTGGTAATGTGAATTAACTCTTTAACAAAGGAAGGATTCAAATTCTTTTGGGAGGCTAATACATTTATGTTTATGAGGGGGTTATTGTATTTTTTATTATACTTGTTGCGAGAGAACTTACGTGAGTTGCCATGCAGGCCTACAGAGAGTAGAATTCTGTAGATGCGACAGGCTTTTCTAGGAAGACTTACTTTTCAAAGACACATCTGGCAAGCAAAGGGACCTTAGCCTGCACTGGTGTTCCCTGAAGCAGAGAACACATAATAAGTCCATGTGGAAAAGGTGTGGGTGGGTCCCAAGGGGTCTAGCACATCAGAACTTCAAGGAGACCGTGATGCTGAAGGCAGTCTCTCTGTAGTCAGGCAGTAAGGCCGGTGAAGCACCGTGAAGCTTTGTTCTGTTCTCTCAGCCTGTCCCAGAGAGGCTGGCCCAATGCCCATATCTATTAGGAGATTATTGCATGTGCTATAAGGGGCCAGGGTGCTCATTCAAGTATTTGCTTGAACCAAACACTACAGTTACAGGACTAACACCAATGGGTGACCAGAAGTGGTAAAGCGGAATTTTAAATGCCCTTATGGGTAAGATGCCCATTTTAGGGAGTCTTCTGTCATTATTCGGTCAAGCATGTTTACCAAAAGGCACAAAGATTGTGGTTCGTAGACACATGTCCACGCCACCTTCTGCAGCTGGTGAAATTTAAGATGTCCTGCTAGTACAGCGTGGATGTCTTCAGGCAGAACTTTGTATCTTGGATAAGAGGTCCTAGTAGTCCTTGTCAAGAATGAGAAGTATTTTATCTTACTTTCTGCCATTAAAATTATCTTTCTTTAACAAACACTTGAAGGAGTGTTTAAAGGACCTAAAAGATTATTACAAACTAGTATTTTTATTGCAGCCCCATAGAACAAATTCCATTACTCAATTAAAAGTGATCTGCCTCCAGCCAAGGCTCTGGAGCCAAACATTTTGTCTGGATGAGTTAGACACTCAGTCTGGAGCCCAGGGGGCTGGGGTGGGGGAGGGTGAGCTAGTGCAGGAGAAGCTGCAGATGGGGCAGCTCCAGGGCCCAGAGCTAGGCTGGGGAATAAGGTAGTGTGTGTTGGTGGCATGGTATGGCTTTTTGTATCTCTATACAATCCTACACTTGATGTCTGTGAGCCTTCCAGAAGTGGGTTGATTCTTTGAGTTAAGTGCTGAGCACGCAAAAGGTTCCCCATAAAGTATTCGTTGCTTGACCAGTTGATGGATTAGGTGTTAGCCCCTGTTTAAGGTGCTGATTCCTGGGAGAGAAGAAACTATTTATTAATAGATATTAGCCCCTGTTCATTCTACTATGGGCATGGGTCTTTCAGACCCTCTGTCCACAGGCTAAGTGGGCTTTTTCCCAGGGGATGATAGGGAGACCTGGAATATTGGGTTTTGCCTGGAGACGTATGAGGTGAGGCCCAGCTTCTGGGGAGGCCTCAGAGAATGCAGGCCATGGTCACAGAGCAGATTCAGGGACTTGGGTCTGGCAAGGGAAGATGGGAAGATACTAAGGGTGAGCTTGACTTTCTTTGCATTCTGATCACCTCAGGGACTCTGGCTGATTTAGGATTTAGTATGGAAGGTAGATTTGTAACATGCCTCTTCTGAAAATAGAACAAATACCCCAAATGCTGTATGAACTTACATATAGGAAACATGAAACACAGTTTATAAATTAAGGGGAATGTAATTAGGCAGCCTTTCAAAGGAAAGGCTTTGTCTTGGAAGAGGCAGCTGTCTCCTCATTCACCCTTATCCAGCATTTATTTGGATGTCAAAACTGATCAACACTGAACAATGGGAAAGTCCATAATGCCAAGCTACATAGAAGCCAGCACTGTATCAGTGAAATATGAGTGTTCCTTCAATAGCCAGTTGTAAGCCCCAGAGAAGGGGGTCACTGGTCCTTCTTGAACCTTGTGTGTTTCACAGAGAATATCCACCAATTCCACCCAGAAGTCTGGCAGTTTGTAACTTGGCATCCAGTCTTCAAGGAGTCTCTGGTCATTCTCTCTAGAGGCCCTTTGATGAATTGAGACTGAGACCCATGATGCTCACAGATTCACCCTGAATGCTGTCCCTTAGTGCCCTGGGTTCTCTTAACACCTCGTTCTCTGGGGCCACGGGTTCTTTGTTATGTCCCCATTTGTCAGGTTATCTTACCTGCTTTGCATCATTGGAACGCACATTTTCTTAGGCTCTGTAATTACTTTTCCAGTTCTGATCCATTCCTTATGCTGGTCAGAGGCAGAGCTCTTCACGTGCCATGTGCACTTTTGCAATTCGCACCTATTTCTCAGGCACTTTGTAACGATGAGCCTCTCTTCCCTTCTTCCTTTACAAGATGCCCCTCCACTTGGCCCTCCAGGTCAGTGCCTGTGTCATTTTCAGGTCAGTTTCTTCCTGCCCTGGCAGATGGACGGCCAGGGCCCTTCAGCAGGAACGGAACGGGGCGGAGCCTCGGTGAGCCCTGTGACTCCCCTGGGAGCCCTTGGGGGGGCGAGGCCTGGTGGACCGAAATCTGTATGCCCCACTGCTAATTCCTCCTTCTCTTCTCCTCCCTCTGTGATCTGCTCATGCCACTGCAGTGCGGAGGACGCTGAAGAGCGGCCTGACCCCAGAAGAAGCCAGAGCCCTGGGCCTGGTGGGCACCTCGGAGTTGCAGCTGTGACACCCGTGGGCACCCTAAGAAGTGTGCCTGAACAGAGTGCATGCTCCTGCTGGACAGAGCCCCTTCCCTGGGGGCAGGGAGACTCTACACGAACATCTGGAGGTCCTGAAGGGGAGTGCCCATTTCTCTGTGTCACCGCGTGGCTGTGTTGCGTGCTGTGCTCTGACAGGAATCTATTGGAGTCTCCGTTGTGTACTTTCTTCATTGTGTCAGCTGTGTTTCTCTTGTTTCCGTGATACCTGGTTTAGTAGTTCCAAAGTGTGACACCTTTTCTGTGCAAGGAACAGCCCTTTTAAGGAGCAAATCACTTCTGTCACAGTTACTATGATCGTATGAGGCAATTGGATTAGATTCACAGACTGGGTCTCTCCGTAACACCAAAATATCCCAATGTAAACTCCAAAATTGTACACAAAAGAAAGCACAGATTGTTTACCAGTTGTGGATTTTAGATGTACTAAATGTTTATATGAATTCATAAATGTACACCATGTCTCAAATACTAAATAAAGAGTTTAATGTCATAACCAGAAATTTTCATTCTCTTGGCTATACGACTTTAAAGCTCCACAGGCTTCCTCCTTCCGGGTCAGCAAAACCTATTCTCAGATTCATCAGAAGGACCCTGGCTCAGAACGGTCCCCGGGCACTGTGGGTTTTGGTTTTTGTTAATAGAATGAGAAGCCCTGACAATGTGCTCTCTGCAGCTCCTGCTTAACTGGGCATTGGGGTTTCTTGCACAACAAGCTAGCAATAACCTTACCCACGTGCTTTGTTTTGCTCCATTGCAATGTGGGAGAAAAATTAAGGTAGGATTTCAAAGATCTCAACTATTCTGCAACTCATTGACTTGCCTCTTTATGTAAAAATTCCTTTTCTCAAAAAATTTACCAAGTCACCAAAGCAAAATGGAAATTGAACGTTTTGACTACAGAGAATGACAAATGTAGTCCTTGGCACTCAGTACAGGTCATCAGAAGCTCAGGTGTCCAGAGTGGGAGGCGCCATGAGGGGCCCTTAGCAACAGTAGAGACATGCTGAGAGGCTGCTGCCCACATAGTAGCTGAGCCCTCCCCTGAAGTCACTTGGTCCAAGGTTTCATGGCTCCCTGTGAAGAAACTGCCTCTGAAAACAGGGTAAGGAAAACCACTGCAGCAGGTGTCGGGGAATGGGTTTTAAAGGTCATTGGGTCATTGATTCTCCCTTTGCCTTGCTTGCAAAGCCTCTGTGACTCTGCATTGCTGAACTTGGGTATATGTGATTTCTAGACAAGATGTAGTCATATTGTCTGAAGAGCCAAAGAGCACAGATTCATGCCGTCGGCCTCTGTGACTGTGTCCCCCTCTTTTGCATCCTCACTCATTGACCAACAGGGAGCTCTTTCCAGCAGGCGTTTGTTAAGAAATACACAATGAATGTGAGCACCCCAGGAGAGCCCATGGCTTGCAAGAGTTAGTTCTGTACGTTACAGACAATTGAGTTTATTTCATCACTTTCTTAAAAGGTGTTAGGTATTAACGTTTGTTTCCTTATGGTTCTAAATAATGTGTAATATTCTGCATGTGGTTTAGTGGTTTGTGAGCATTCATTTGCCTTGGCACTGAATGCAGGCATAGAATATCAGTATCACTGGTGATCATGATGTACCAACAAAAGGAAGATGTGTTTTTCTTGCCTATTTTAATGAACAAATACTTTGATGCCCTTATAGGGCCTCTAGGTGTTCTGCTGAATTATTGCTTTAGAATAAAAGGTCACATTTGGAAGGAAGTGACCAAATAAATCTAATGCTAATTTTATTTCAAAAATTAAAAAATTCTCAGAGGAAGCAGCAAGCTAAACTAATTTCTTGCTTACAGCTAAGTAAAGAGCATTTCTTTTCATTGGGAACTTGTTTTAGTACTTTTTAGTGAAACTGAAGGATTTTTCCTGTTGCTCATGGCCACTCCCCTTGCTGCCACTCACTCTGGCTTCCTCTGTTAGTGTCGTTTGATCCAGGTGGTTAAATTTCTCTAAAAGACCTTTGAGAAGCATTAAAGTGAAGGGTACCTTACACCTGTGAGGTGCTATTGCTAATCTTGCTGATCATCACTATAGATATTCTTGTGCCTAATTCTTAATCTGGGTGGAAATTGCTGCTGGTAAAGAAAGACAAATGCTTTTCTGTTAAAGATGCCTGGGTTTGGGTTTCTTCAGAATCTTAAGGTTCTTCTTTCTATTTTAAGAATAACTTAGGGGTTTGGGAGCGGAGGGGAGGGTGCACAGGGACATGGAGGGCTGAAGACCCTGATTTGTTTTCTTCTAAGTCCATAATTGAACACAGTGCAGGGGGGGAAAGCAGGGGCTCCAGAAGACCTGGTTTCCAGGCTCCTAATCTGAAGGTGTCTGCCTCATTGTTCACAGCTCCCACGTCCACCTTTTCTGAGTTCATGGTCCCAGGACGGTGTATCACTAGGTACCACCGTGGTTAATGGCCACCCCATCATAGCAGGTCCTAATTGTGGGAATGTCTATGTTACTTTATAAGAAAGGGTCTTTGCAGATGTGACTAAATTAAGGGTTTAGACATGGGGAAATTTTTCTGGATTATGTAGATGAGCCCTAAATCCAATCATAAGTATCCTTGTAAGAGAGAGGAAGAGGGAGACTTGATATATACAAAAGCGGAGAAAGAGTTATGAAGACAGAGGCAAAGATAAAAATGTTGTGGCCCCAAACCAAGGAATGCCAGCAGCCACCAGAAATGGGGAAGAAGTGAGGAATAAATTCCCCACTAGAATCTCTGGAGTGTGGCCCCAGTGACATTTTGATTTTGGTCCTGTGAAACAGTTGAAACTGACATTGAACTTCTGGCCTCCAGAGCTATAAGAGAATACATTTCTGTTGTTTTAAGTCACCATGTTTGTAGTAATAAGTTATGACCCCTCTAGAAAAATAATGTAACACAAGTCACAAATATGCACTGAGGGCCTGTTATGGAGGTGACCCCGTGCCAGGGGCAGGGGACTCAGCTGGGAAAAGGACAATCACGGTCCTTCCCGTTAGGGAACTTACCTGGGCCATGAGAGGTAGTTGTCACCCCATGACAGAGGCAGGGGACGCAGCTGGGAAAAGGACAGTCATTGATCCTTCCCCTTAGGGTACTAACCCTAAGGCCCCGAGAGGTGGTTGTCAACTAAAATTAAAATTGAGTTTAATCAGCCACTCTGCAGCTATTTATACTTTTTATCAGCGAGGTAAGTAATAATAAAAGCACTCAGTTGTCTAGGAAATGGGATAAAATGACTTTACAATTGCAGTGAAGGTACATGATATTAAAATGCCCCATCACTTTTGTAAAAAAAAAAAAAAAAAGCAGTCTGTTTTGTATAAAAATCTGTTGTGTTTGCTAGGCAATTCGGGGAAGGGAAAATAGACTTTCTGAGTAATTTTTTAAATAGTTAAAGTATTTATTAAAGGCATCTCTGTGTGGACATTTGTTATATATTATTTTATATAATCCTTGTAGCCACTCTGCATTTTCATTTCATGTACAAAGAAACTGAGGACGAGAGATGTTAAGTATCTTTCCCCAAGGACAGAAGATAGGGAGTGATATATCCTGGCTTGTCACATTAGTTTAAGATGGCTTGTTAGTTTGATACTCGACTATGTTTCTGAGCCCAAACATGCAGGACACTGGACCGTGGATAGGTCTAGTGGGTGGGGAGCCAGCCGGTCCCATGCTGACCAAGCCAAAATCCTGGAGGCCAGGTTGTGTACAAGGTGGCAGTGCCATCTAAGTTCCTCTTAATAAGGGTTGATAATCATGTACACATTTCACATCAACTATTAATAATTGACAGTCTTCATCTACCCACCCATCCATCCATCTACATCCAACACAAATAGGAAAGGTTCAGAAGCTCAGGAGCATCTTTTGCGACTTTATGATGGAATGAATCTTGCTCCGATGGGTGAAAGGATAAGGTGGGAAATCATGTGGGTTGCTGATACACAACCAGGGGACGGCCAAGCCACTTACGTTCTCCTGAGGAGCACACTTAATTATTGTCTTTGAAAAGAATTTTTAAGAAGACCCAGCTGAAATACAATTTTATGGTTTTGTAGTTTAAGCCCCATTTCAGCCGTTGACATAGAAATTTTTCCTAACTACTGGATCAGCAACAAAGATTTGTTATCAGAATATTTTGTAACTTATAAGTAGAGCATTACATGTACAGGAAAATTAAATAGGGTGGATAATTGGAAGCAATACTTGAGAATGAAAAAGCACAGTCTGACTATGACTGAGGAATTGTGACACTGCAGTGCATCAGGACCATGTAGGACCAGTGGGTGTTGGATCCCCTGTGTCCCCAGGGCTCCATGCTGCAGGCTCCTTGCTTGTGGTCACTGCGGAAGAGAGGTTTGCAGGTGCCGGTCCCCAGGTCTTCAGAGGCTCAAGTACACTCACCTCTTCATCTCCCAGTGGAGGGGCCAGACAACCAATTTCTCTTTAACACAAGATTTTCTTCTATTCCTTTTGATAGAAACTTTAAGATACCCGGTTTAGGCAGAAACAGGAAGAAATGGATTTTGGTCAGATATAAAAGATATTCCATAGAGGACCTGCACAGCATGTTGTATACATGGCATTAAATCCTCCACAAGGTAAGTAGGCACCTTCTCTTCCTCTGTATTAGCACTGAGGTACTTGGACTGTTCAGTTGACCCGGCTAAGCAGAGACCTTGGCTTTTGCTCTTCCAGAAAATAAACCAGAAAGAGCGTTTCCTTTAGAGAGAGCACCTGACTCTTAATAGAATCTGCCAATCAGTGCTTTTAAAGCTGCACTGCTCTCTGGGCGGGGGCGGGGGGGTCCACTGAGCGACAGCCAGATACTTCTGGGCACGGAGGGGGCTAGGAGAAGGAAGCATCTGCCCTGCCCAAAAAACACTTGACTTGTATACTTAATGGAATAACTATATTTTGGTAAACTCCAACTTTCAAATAAGCTGGCTGCCTGGGGAAGCTTTTGTAGATGCTTTATCCAGTTCCTGAAACAAAGGGTTCTTGATGATATGTTGATTTAGACAAGGTCAGTTTTACTGGAACTCAGCACATGGCAGCTGGTGGTAGACATAGCTACAGAATTAGAGCAATTCGATCAACATCAGAGCCCTTCATCATTTAAAGATGAGGCAAAAAAAGAAGTGGCAGTGGAAAAAAGGAGTCTATCCCCAGCTTCACCCATCCTCAAAGGAAGGAAATGGGTTCTAATCCAGCAGCCTCCTCTTGGCAGGTATGAAAAAATGACTTGTCTCTTTTTGGAAGAAAAGCTGTCCTGAAATTGTCAAGGTTGTGCAAATTTGACAACTTCCTAAATTAACATATGTATACAGAAGTTCACTGTTGGATTAAACTTTATAAACTTGTGTTAATAAGCAAATGTAACATTTTTTCATGATAACATAAGGGTAGTTTTATTGTATAACCCGCAAAAAATCCAGGGCCTTCAGCTCTGGCCGGGTGGCTCAGTTGATTGGAGTGTCATTGTGCAACAAAAAAGGTTGCAGTGTTTGATTCCCAGTCAGGGCACATACCTGGGTTGTGGGTTCGATCCCCAGTTGGGGCACGTGATTGATGTTTGTCCCTCTCAAATCAATAAAACATGTCCTTGGGTAAGGATTAAGAGAAAAAAAAGAAAAATCCAGGGCCTTCAGTGGCCCAGACTCAGTACTTTGGTAAGGCAGATTTTTGAATGCCTTGTGCTTGATTGAATTGTTCCTATTTTTTATTGACTTTATAATATTAAAGGTGATTTCCCATTTTTTTGAGTGGCCTAAAACACAGGTTGTGAAGACAGTAATTAGGGCCCCAGCAGTATGTTTAGGATCAAATATTTAAAGAGAGAGAGTTTTTCTTATTAAGTTGCTCAGTAAGCCTGCATTCTAGAATCCCGACACCGTTCTAGAACCCGCGGGGTGGTGGGTTGGAGCCACCTGTGGGAGCCGTGCCCTGGGAAGCACTAGGCATTTAACTGGAGGCCCCTCAAGAGCAGTCTGTGCCCACTTGTATCCCAAGGGATGACTTCATTTACAGATAAAGTGTAAAGTTGGAAACTGGAGATTTGGTAAAGGTGAGCTGCTTTTCCATCTTACTGATCTTGTCTTTATTAGTTTGTCCCTTACAGCTTTTGCTTGAGGGATGAGGTCTCTTAACTGGATTAGAACTACTTTGAGGGCTTTTTTTGTTCCTGTCCTGGTTGGTCTACAAGGTGTTCTTATTGTTCTTAGCCACTCTTTATGCTGTGGGGGAGAAAAAACTAACAATGGTTTCCAGAGGAATATCAGGCACTTTGAGAAATGTCATTTCTTGAGTGATCCTTTCTGTGCTCAGAAGGGAGTTTCAAAGCCAGGCCCACCTGCTCTCCAGGAGGGGAGAGATGAGCTGCTTTAAGTTGCAAACTGGCTCCTTGATCTCTCTCAGCTTTCCACACTGGAGCCACGTGGAGGCCTAGAAGCTGTGCTGCTTTGGTGCCTCTGACTGCCCCGTGGACTAAGTCTAGACTCTGCACAGCCTGCTCTGCAGCCTGGACGAGGCCACTTTTCCAAGGCAAGCAGTATTGTGCTGACCCATCTCATCCCTGGGTTTCCTTGCAAGCCAGGAGTTACAAAAATATGTAAGGTGAGAAAGGATGGTGTCCTATAAAAAAGGTGTCTCAAACCAGGTAAATGTCTCTATTCTTTGTTAAGTATAACATCATATAAAAAGGCTTTGCAGAGTTATTGAGTTGTAGTGTAGAAACAATCCAGGTATGATCTGGGAGGGCTGGCCAGTGGAACTTCTTATGGTGCTGGAAATGTGCTGTACAGGTACTACTCAACGTGGTAGCCACTAGGCATGTGATTGCTGAATGCTGGAAATGTGAGTAGACTAAAAATTTTTAATTTTATTTGATTTTAAGTTTCAATGGCTACTTACGGTTAGTTGCCCAGATCTGAGAACACACCTTTCTATGTGCTTTGTTGGTATTTATTCATTTTACATACAGGTTTTTATGTGAAGTGTGTATAAAATTGCTTTAGACTACCATTTACTCCATCAAGAACTTCAAACAGTGTCTAATAAAGCCTGTCCAATCCCTGCCTATACTGTGTTCACAGCCTTGGGAATTCTTGTCCTCAGAGAATCCCGTGATTGACATTGGGAGCCATCAAGCATGTACTCTCTCCTCCGGAGGCATTCTGCCATTTATTCTCATTTTGTGATTCCAGCTTGCTGTCTTTTCTGGGGGTCAGTTGATTTACAGTAGAGCCTATTGCCATTTTAATCACTTTCCTTTCAAAACGTCTACCTCCTGGGTGAGTTCTTCCCCAGTGTAACCCACCCAACTGACATTCTGCCAGCAGCCTCCCCCCAGCAGCGCGCCTTCCCTCCTTCCCCAGGGCCAGCTTTATGCGTGCCACACCCCCGTCACGACTTTGCAGTTCTTAGTCTACACACTTGAGGCAGAGGAGCACACACTTGAGCAGAGGTGTACAATACGTACGTCCACTGTTCTTATGGTCCATTCGCTTCCAGCCTTCGCGAAGCCCGTGAGCACAGAGGGCCCACCATCCAAGAGTGTTTAGAGAGATTCAAAGTATTAGCGTGTTATAAATACAACTAAGTTGGGGCATTGAGAGCCCCCAAAGCCCTTACTTTCCATTTGAACCAGAATTGATTCGATGACCATGGAACCCTAACAAAGTTTTTCTTACTCATGTTACTTTCGTGTTAGCCAACCACTTATTCTGAAAATGACAGAGAAGAAAGAATAATGTACAGGAGCTCATTGGTTTTTTTTCCCTCCAGAACTTCCTTATTCATCAAGTTGAAAGTGTTGATAGAATGCGTACATATCAAGAAGTGAAGTAACAACATTTGAGCTAGTTTTATGCAGTGTTTCCAGGCTTCTGGTAAGAATACATATGCATACGCTATGTATACATAAGCTATGAAATACAAATTGTGTAATTTTGGTGATTCTGCATGAGTTAAGTGTTTTTACTTGTGGCTAAAACTGGAATTAGACAATATAAAGATGAATGATAAAAGTAATGCTAATAATTCAAAGTTTTAATTTTACTTAGAACAGCATTAAGGAGCAAAAACCGCTATAGCAAGCTGTTAGAGAGACCATGAAAGGAAAAACCTTTCAGTACCTTTAATGAGTTTCCTGATCTTTGAACCAGAGGCCTCACGCCTTCGCTTTGCACTGGGCCCTCCTTATCAGCCAGCCAGTCAGCCAGCTCCGCTCCTCCCCAGCAGGTCGTGAGCTTTTCCTTGTCAGAACCCCCTTCTGTCTCCAGCCCTTTGAGGACCCCCACTGATTGCCACCAATTTGAAGGGCACCATTGCTCTTGTGGCCCCTTCGCTATGACTAATCTAGGACTAAACCAGAACTAAGATGTAAGTCTGCACAAGTACTAGAGGAAGGATATCTGCCACCTGGAGGGTGACACAGTGTCTCAATGCCCCTCCAGCCTGGACTTGTCCTGGAGGAGCAATCAAAGGCTGGAATCTCTTACCTGGTGCTGCTGGTTCTCCCTTTGATCAGTTCCGGCAGAAAAAAAATTTAAAAAACCTTCTGGAACCCTGACCTCCAGCTATTGCCCTTTACAACCTGTTCCCTGTCTATCCTTTTCAGCCACTCTGTGGATGGCTGAACCGCTGTGAGTAGGCAGAGCAAGGGGAACGCTCCGGCCCACAGTGACTGGTTTCACCAAAGCTCTTTCTGAAGAGTCCTGCAAAACAACTCTTGGGGGTTTGTTTTGAAATGGCGGGAGTACAGCAGGATCACCTCTCCAAAAAAACCCCCAAACAACTGAGAAAGATAATTTTGGTAAAAGTGCACACATCACAACACAAAACTGGAAGCGAGAAAATTTTATAGGAAACTGATGAAGATGAGAAACTTTATAGGGAACTGAAAAAGAAATGAGCAGAGGGAGGTTTGTGATGAAGACATGAAGAACACACAGCTAAAATTTCAAGAGTTTACATGGAACATTATGACCCATCAAATTAAGGTATCATCATTAACCAACGAAGTAATCTGAGGAAGAGCAGAGCAAAAGTACTCTAATGTGGTGTTGTCCAACAGAATTTTCTGTGATGAGAGAAATGTCCCATTATCTCTGCGCTGTCTGTATGGAATCCACCAGTCACATGAATATTCAAAATGTGGCTATAATGCAATATATATAATGAGGAAATGAATATTCAGTTTAATTTAAATAGCCTCACATGACTAGTGGCTACCAACTGAACATTGCAGTTCTAATGCTTCATGGGTCAAAGCCAGCAGTTTCTTTGGGGGACTCCCCTGGTCACTGCTGAATGGTAGGGGGTTGCGGCTGGGAAGAGAGGAAGCTCCTAACAGATCTATTAGGCCACTTGAACGAAATCTAAAATTCTCCATGGCTTCTGGAGGCGGGGGTGGCACAGCCTGCTGCGGGGGCTGTGAGAGGAGGACTCCTGGGGAGACCTGAGGACGCCTTCCACTCCTGGCTCATGCTAATGGGAGTAAAAGGCCCGGGGTTTTGGTCATTCAGCTGGGAGGAGGTGCTCAGGCTTGGCCCCCCCACTCCGCCCCCGCCCCCCCCACTCCGCCCCCGCCCCGGGGCATGTGTGCAAGATGTCAGCGCTCTGGGCTGGCCGGGGCCTGGAGGCGGGCGCGCTCATTTCCGGACAGGGTTTCCAGAGCCAGAGGAGGATTTAGGTGTGGAGGGAGGAGCTGAAGGCCCTTTCTGGCCACCTGCTGGTTGAACGGGTCCTTTCTTTTTGGGAATTAAGATCTTGTTCTTGCTCTTGAACACTTTGCTGGGATCCAGCTTGTTCACAAAGGAGTCAGTCTCTTCGGAGAGCAGGTTTGTGTTGTAGGTGACGGGTTTGTACATGTTGAACCATTGCTGCAAGGCAGAAATGGGAGAGAGGGTCACAATTCAAAGGAGAAATGTCCTTATTTATGCTTTGTAGTGGGTGAGACAGGGTAGAGAGCTAGAGAGTGAAGAAAAGAAAGTTTTAATGAAAAAGTTGGAAAAATCTATTAGCACTTCAAGTCAAAGTGATGACACACACATTGCTTTATGAGGTCTCATACCCTTTAAAGTAATGCTGCATGAAGAGTAAGAATCTGAGGAAATTTCCTTCCTTCTGATCTAGTGAGTCCTGAGCCTGAGATGCTAGGTCCCAAATCACCAGGCGACAGTGTCCTTTTAACTGTTCTCCCTCAAGCCAGCCCCTGCCCATCAGGGAGGTGTGACAGGGTCTGTAATATAGATGAGGCACATCCATACTCTGGAATACTCTGTGTTATTAAAAAGGACAGCTCTCTCTGTATGATAGGGAGTGAGTTCCAAGATGAGGTGTTAAATGAAAAGAAGGTGCACAACAAAGTGAATAGTATATCGCACTTATGATTTAGAAAAATGGAACCAAAACTCATATGCAACAGAGTATCTTGGTGCAGGCACATGAGAAGTTCTCAGCAGTGGCTGCCTATGGGGAAGCGCACTGGGAGGCGGGAGAACGGGGAAGTAAGCAGCGGACTTTACACCATTCCTGTGCCCTTGTACTGCTTATTACACAATCAGACTAAGGCCCTGACAAATTTAATTAGGAAAAACTCCCCAGGTAATTCTGAGGCACAGCCAAGTTTGGGAACCACTTAACTAGATCATATACAGTGAGACTGGAATCACCTGCCTTGCTTATTGAAAATGCAGGTCTCGGGGTTCCCTCCCAAATCTCCTGAATCAGATGGGAAAGCTGGGAATCTGCAGTTCAGGTGTTTCCTCAGAAGATTCCGATACATTCCACAGTTCGAGATGACAGGTGGCCCTTACCTTGGCCTGCGGGCTAACGCCATAGTTGGTGAAGGCATACTGCCACTGCGGCAGGCCCAGGTGTGTGATGAGCAGGCGGTAGTAGGCGGTGAAGGTATCTGTGAGAAAATGCCAGTACAATGCTCTGTCCAGGAACCAGATCTCAGTGTCTTTCGCTAATGCTGAAATTGCAAAGGAAATAAATGAAGGGATGGCTTACATTTTTTCCTTTTATCTGTAAAGTTAATATATACTCATGGTTTTAAAAATTCAAATAGTAGAAGGGATGGTAAAATATAAGTAAAAGTTTCCTTTTTTTCCCTCCCATCTCCTAGTCCCATTCTCCAGCGGCTGCTGTTGGTTTCTTTATTCTTTTACAAATTCTGATAAACCCACTGACCTACCTGCTGGGCTTTTGCCCTTTGTGCATCAAGCTATCTAAGCAGCACTCCTTTCCGGCAGGGAGACGGTATTGCTCCTCCCCTAGTGGGTTCATACAGTGGTCTCAGCTTTCCTGATGGAGGGGAAAGCTTTCCTGGAGGGAATGGCTCTGGCTTTCTGAAGGGGTCAGGGTTGGAAGTGCGGTGAGAGGCCACCCTGGAGGAGTCCCGACCTGCCGCCTCTCCTGGGAATCCTGCCTGTGCCGAGGTGTGAAGTCCTGGTTGGGCTGAAGCAGGCACGACTGTTCCAGGTCCCGCCTCACACTTGCTTCTGACCTCCCACTCTCACCCCTGATAGGCCTCCCCTAGTTCATCTCCCGTTTGAAGGCTGCAGCATTTCCCTAACTGGCCTCCATTCTCCAGTCTCTTCCTCTTCCCAAATTGCTTGTGCTCGCATATATTTGCATCTGAATCCTGCCATTCTCCTGAACATCCTCAGGTCCCTACTCACTTCTAAACTGGGTGCACACCCCCTCACCTGGCTTTCAAACCTTCACCTGGACAGGAAACAACAGGCCTTCTGGCTTTATCACCTCTGTCCACAAGATGAACCATGGGGGTCCTGTGAATTGGAATTACTTGTCGTTTCCCCTCAAATCAGTTGCTCTTTCTTACATGGCTTTTACTCCTGTCTCTTAGCTTGGATGGCCCTTCACTCCACCACACCCTTTAGCCCCACCCCATGTCTCATTCCTACCCATAACTCAAGATGCAGCTCAGAGGCTATTTCACAAAGACTCCTCCAGCTGAAGACCATCTCTCTTTCCCCCGAGGTAAGGTAAATCCGGGTGTATCCTCTCATGCCTGCCAGGCGGAGAGCTGCCTGGAGGAGGCTGGGCATTGCCCAGCCTTGTGGTTTCATCGTCCCTAGGCCAGGGCCTGCTTTTGCTGATAGGGGGCCAGGTGGTGGCCACTGCTCAGGGGGCCAGAGCCTTTAGTAATAAAAGTTTTTATTGTTGTTAATTGGCCTACATAAAGAGGTTTGAAGAAAGATAATATTTGTCCTGGATGCTTTCCTAATGCATGAGCCCGCTGCAGAAGTTACGAACAGAATGACAATTTCTTTTAGTTCTTATTCACTTATTATCCTAACCCCATTATTTTGCAATAACTCACAAATCACGATAGCTTAAAAAGACTCGTTTTGGCCTAGGGGGACGCTCAGAGAGGTCTTGGCATCTCCGAGAGACCTGGTGGTGTCTCAGGAGGCCAGGGAGGAGTAGGCCTTTTGTGTGATGGCTGGAGAGCAAGTCGGCCAAGGCTGTACCAACCCACAGACCATGCTTGTCAATGATTCCTACCTGGCTTCCCTTTTTTGTAGACAAGGCAAACCTTCCCATTCCCATTGCAAGGATCCAGCTCAAATATCACACTGCGAGAGTCAAAGTGAGGTTTCTCTGGCTGGTTCCCACGGGCTGCAAACCCAGAAGGTAATGGTGATGTTTAAACATGTTCAATGCAAACATATACTTACTCATCCAGCTTAGCTAGGATTAAAAAACAAACAAAAAAACAAAACAAGGCAAAAAACCTTTTCTCAGACATATTTTTAAAAATTATTTTCAAATGTAGGACAAATGAATTCTACACTCTAAGTGCCCTGGCCCTCACCCAGGGTCCAGGCCTTTTGTCTGGGCTCCCTATCGCCAACAGACAGGGTCTAGAATCTGGCAAAGGTGGCTTGAGGGAAACAAACTGAACTTCTCGGGAACAGGACTATGTAACGGCAGAGTAATTGGAATGACCTGATGTTGACATAACTTTTTTCTGTTTCCTAGATAACTGCTTCCCCCTTATTTATAGCATTTTATGATCTTTTGATTAGAATCCCCTTTCCTCAGTCTAAAATAAAATATTTAATTATAATGGTATCTTTAACTATGTTACGATTACTACTAAGTCTGGCTCAAGTTAGAAATACCCACCTAGAAACCAAATACCATGGAGTAACAGAAAAAAGGTACATTCTTAGAAATGCAAGCATCAGAAACCATCTCTCCTGCTTCTTTCATTGCAGCTAATATACAGTAAAGATTACTATTAGTAACTGGGGTGGAGAGAGTTTACAAACCTTGGAGAAACTGGATAAAACAAAGAATATAAAAATAGTATTTTTGAGTTATATACATATACCTACATATACCCATAAGTTCTATATAAATGCATAAATATTTAATTTCTAATTAAAAAAATTTTTTTTACCTTGACTTTTCCCTCCTCTAGAAGTTATGCCTTTATATTTTTCTTGATCTCATATGATCTTAGGTAGATACTTAAATTTTGTCAAGATTGCTTGATGTATAAAAATGTCATATCACACACGTTATATCTGAATCTTGCAACAATGCCATGTGGAAAACCTCATCTGGTGTAACTAAAATTCATTCTTTTTAATGGCTGCCTGGATAGTCTGTGAGAGTGGGTGCACCCTAATTTATCCCACCACACCCTGCTGATAGGCATTCACCTATCATTATTCTGCTATGAATGGTACAATAATCATCTCAGGACATACCTTTATGTTCTGGTGTTTCATTAGAGCATAACTCGTTTTATTGGGCTTCGCTTTACTGCGCTTCACAGATAGGTGCATTTTTTACAAATTGAAGGTAAGACCTTCCACCAGCAAAAAAGTTTAAGACTTATTGAAGGCTCAGGTGATAGTTAACATTTTTTAGGAATAATGTATTTTGTAATTAAGGTATGTACATTTTTTTGTATATAATGCTACTGTACACTTAATAGACTATAGTACACTATAAACCTAACTTTTATATGCACTGGGAAACCAAAAATGTCTTCTCTCTGTTACTCAGTCCGTGAGCCCGAGCTGCAGCCTTCCTCCGGCTAGGCTCTTGGCTTTGCCTTCTCAGTCCACGGAGTGTGGTCAGTTCTGCTTAGGTTCCCCTCACTATGCTAGACAGGAAACGCAGGGAAGGAGCTGGGGTTCACCTCCTTTGTTTCTCATCTCTCAGCTCATTGTCCTCTGTTGCCTGATGGTCAGTGTCCTGAAACCCACTGTTTCATACATTTTGTCTGTTTCTATGTTGTTGCAGGTTGGAGGATATATCTAGTGTCTGTTACTCCATCGTCGATGAAATCAAAAGTCCACACTGTAGGGTCCCACCAGGTTTTAGCAGGCCTGACTGAGGTCTGCCCTTAGGTGTAAAGTTTAAAAAAAAACCCAGGAAACTCATTCAGTGTCATTCCCTTTTGCCATTTCTAGATGCCACTCCAGTTTCTGTTTGTTTTTGGTTACTTTGCAGACCTTCTAGCTAATTGTTATAAATTTTTTTCCCAGAGTTTAGAGTTATTATTGGCAGAAGTCTTGATCTGATAAAAGGCAGACCACCATGATCAAAAGCAGAAGGTCAATATTTGACTTTTCAAAAATCTGCAATGTCACTGTTTTTAGTTCCTCAATAAAATGTTTGGTTTTTGGTTTTATCTCCATTAGCTTATTATTTTACAGTCTGTACCTAGTAACTTCACCCTTGGGAGAGTACCAGTGAATCTGTTATTTGTTCTTATTCATGGTGTGTTTTTTCATGTGCCTGGTTAGTTAGTAGAAATTATTTTTTTAAAAATCATTTATAAAAACAATTTGAGGTCTAGAATAATGCTCTCTTCCTCTTAGAATTTTCTTTCAATAGAAGAGCTTTATACTGAGATATAATTCACCTACCATACATTCACTCATTTAAAGTGTGCAATTCAGTGGTTTTTAGTATATGTACAGGGTTGTGTAACCACGAACACTACCAATTTTAGAACATTTCTCTAGAATGAGCTTCTGTTCCTTTCTGCCAGGCCCCTGAGGAGGCTAGTAATCTGGAATCAATTTACTCTGATTTGGGGATTTAGCATTTTCTGGGACACACAGATGACTTATTCTTGAACTTCAGTCCACATGAAGAGTGGTTATTTCTGGCTCATTCTGTCCTCGAGGGTAGATGCCAACCCACAGGACAGTGGTTTTATGGGTGCCATCTTTTGTAGTTCTTAGACTCCACTTTACTCCCCTCATCCCACATACGGACCATATTCTCAGCTTTTCAGCAGCCTCATTGTTTCTTTTGAAAAGGACGATGTACCCCAGGCAAAAGAAACCCCACATGTTGGGTCTCTTCCCTGGACTTCTACTTCCTTCTGGATGTTGATCTACAACCTTATCACCTTGTTAGCTCTTTGATGCTTTCGGGAAGATGGTCTTTATGCTTTGCCCTGACAGCTCAGTGGCTTTCAGCAGGAGGGCCACTCTGAGTCACCTACCGCCATCACAGAAGAGGAAGGCTCTTTATCGGCTTCAGCACGGATCAATCTGACAGTCTTTGTTTTTCGAAAGAGAAAGTCAATCCCTGCATGTTTAATATAATGATCGCACTGTTTTATTTCTCTTAATGCTTTATTTTATAATGTCGTGTCTTCTTTTTCCCTTTTTCTTATTTTTACTCATGCAATTTAACATTCTCCTTATTAAATTAGCAATTTTTAGTGTGGTGTTTAAAATTCCTTTAGTGGTTATCTTCCTTTTTGTTTGTTTGCTGCATGACTTGATACACATGACTCTACTTTTTTGAAAACAATACCATTATTTCCCTAACCAAGTGTGATACGCAGGACTCTAAGATTCCTGTTCCCCGCTATGTACACCTTGCATAACCTCCACATGTGCCAAGCTTGTGGCTGCTTAGTTGCAGCTATGTTCTAAGGCAAGACCGGCTGCTCCTTATGCCAGGTTTGGGACACCTGATGGGAGTTACAATGCAAGGTGAGATGGGTCGCCATTTGTGCCGGGCTTGGAGCTGTTTAGCAAGAGGTACAGGGCCCTCCTGTACGGGGCATGCTGAGGACAGCTGCTGCTAGTTTGGGGTTTGTGGAACCTTGAGAGGTTTTAGGAACATCTGCAGCATGAACCCATTCAGGTGGCTCCTGCAGAAAAGCCCCTGGAAGTGGCTTTGGCAGGGCTCATGAGGTGGGTGGGATGGGATCTTAGGGAATCAGCAGGGCAGGGCGAACAGTGTTAGCAGGGTAATGGGGAGCACACACTTAGTGCCCACTTGTGCCCTGCTGACTGGGGGGACGGCTCAGCAAAGGGATGATGGTGCTCGTCAGCACTTCCATCCCAGGAGAGAGCGGCCAAACCCTGCCCTTCAGGTTTTTGCCCTGAAGCTGGTCAGTTTAGTCCCCCTAGGTCTCTGGTGTTTTCCAAGATGCTGCCCCTGTGCTGGAGCTTAGAGTGAGTGAGTTTGTGAGCAAGGAAGTCCATCTGTGGCCCCTCAAAAGGAGGGCCTATGTCTCCGGCAGGACTTTGTCTCACTTAGAGATAATTTTCCTTGGTTTTCACAGCCAGATGTTATGGGGACCTCTCTTCATCACACTGGGTTCCTGGGCTGGGGAGCCTGAGGTCTGGCTGTGACCACTCGTTCTTCAGGCAACCGAGATATCCCTCCTGATTCTTAATCACCACACTGTGGGTGTGGGACGTGCCTGCTCCACATCCCTGCCCCAGTCTCGCCATGGCTGCCTCTTTATATCCTTAGTTACAGGACTTCTGTTCAGCTAGTCTTGAGTTGGTTCTAACCATGGTTGTTCTATAATTTAGTTGCAGTTCTGATGTGGTTGTGGGAGGAGGTGAGCACAGCTTTTATCTACTCTGCCATCTTGACCAGAATGTGATTTAATTTTAAATACACACATACATATATACTTTCTCTTTCAGAGGAGATGTAATAATCCCTTGTTTCCTTTCCTCTTTCTGTATCCACATCTTGAGATCTCCATCCAGTTTCATTTGTCTTTTGGTTCAAATATTTATGTTCTTTAAGTTAACACTTTTTAATAAGCCTTATAACCTGAGAGGTGTGTTTGGTCTGTGTATTCTGAACTCTTGATTTTCACTTCTCTATCAATAACCTGTGTGTGATTTTTTACTATCTTCTAGTTTCCACTGTTGCAGGTGAGAAATCTGATTATTATTCTTTTGCAAGTAATTTGTTATTTTCACTTAGAAGCATGTAATTTTTTTCCATATGATGTAACGCCTAAGTGTTTGTTTTTTCTCATCTGTTCAATTTGGGTCTAGGAGTACTCCAATCTTCAGAGAAACTTTCTCTTATGAGTGTTCATTTATTGCCTTTCCATCTATTCTTTTTCTCAAGCACCTAAAATTCCAAAAGACGGTCTCCTGAACCTATCTTCTATTTCTCTTACCTTACTACTTTATTGCTCATAATTTCCCCTTTTAAATTTATTCGTCTGTGCTTTTAGGTATTTCTTGCACTTTGTTTTTCAGACAACGCAGGTCTCAATGTTCATAGTCGTCAATTCATTTAGTCAGTTGTTTAATTGAAAAATCTGTTTTTTTCTATAGGAACTCTTTGTTCTGTCTTAAGTGTTCTTAAGCGTTCTTATTTCTCTTTTTATTTAGGTTTTCATCCATGTCCTTTAGCAGTTACTTCCTTGGTTGTGTACTCTAATATTTCTTCCTTATTGTTTCCTAATGCTGAGTCCCCTGAGAAAAGTCATTGTTTTTCTCCTTGGGTTTAATGCGACTTAGGCATAGCTGTTGGACTATCCTAAAAAGCATAAACCCAGGTACCAAAAGGCCAAGTGGTTATTATGCCCATGAATATGTAGGACAATGTGGTCACTACTGCAGCTCAGTCCTTTGCGGAAGCCCCTTGAAATCCTCTCTTGTGTCTAGTCTACCTCTATTCTTCCAGCCCCATGGACAGGAAGATCCAGTCCGCTCATTTAACCACCTTGTCTTCGAGAGGTTAGCAGGCCCCGGCACATGCAGATGAGGTCAATGTGACTTTTTCCCCACCTTAGAGACTTCTACACATCTCTAACACGTTTTTCCCAGGGTCCATCCCTTTCCAATCTTAGCTGCTGGACTCCTCCTATCTCAATATTATTGTCCAACAGCATGTCCAGTTAAAGAAGAAAGCCTTGCGCCAGTTTTGTTGACCAAGACTTCAATGCACCCCAAGGTCTTAGTACTGGAGATGCTAGTTGCCTACTCAACAATCATTCATATTTTCATTCTCATTCTCTCTCTCATTCTTTCTCTCTCCCATTTAAATCCCAGTTCTGCTTGAGAAGGCAATCAATACTGCACAGCTAAACATACCTCCTCATATTCCCTTGCAGTGATAGGTAGTAAGCTTTTGACTTTGTTCTAACCAATTGCTATTGGGAGTGGCTTGTGAGAGAATTATTGCTTTCCTAATTAAGAAGGGACTCTGTCAAAAAAAAAGTTTGTTTTGTTTTTGGCCCTTTACTCTTTCTCCTGCCTGGAATATAGACTTGAAGGTTGGAGGCAGAGCCCACAATTCTCACCCAGGAAGATGAAAACCATACCCAAAGGCTGGTGCACCAGGAAGCCAAAGGGAAACTTTATCATAACCTAGTTCCAGAGTTCTTGTCATTAAAAAAGAATAATCTATTTAGTTTAGGCTCTGTAACTGGGTTTCTGTTATATGCAACCAAACACTATCCTGACTGACGAAGCCCTCACTTCTCATACTTCCTCAAAGCTTTTCATAGCCATTTGAATTATGAGCTATTTCAGTCAAAAGTGGCAAAGAGCTTGGAGGGAGGAAGGGCACTGCATTTAGACTGCCATGGTCCCAGCAACCTCTTGATACTGAAATGCTGAGTGAAGTGTAATCTGTAACATTCATTCATTTACCAAGTGTTCATTAAGTATCTACAATGTGCTGGACACTGAAGTGTGTGCTAGAACAAAACAAAGATCCCAACCCTGGCATTTCCTTATGGAACTTTCCTTTGACACAGGCTGTTTTTATCTTACTCCCATGGTCCTGAGAAGCCACAGCTGGGAAGGGGTTGGGGGAATATATTACGATGCCACATCTTCCCATGGTTTTCAACATTATAAAGGGAAACAAGAAGGCTGATTTCTAATTCAGAGCGGAAGTTCCCCCAGGTACCTTCTTGTGTATCATCCTCGAGATCAGCCAGAGTTGGTGCGTTAGGAAGTGAGTACATGGAAGACTGGTTGAGTTGAGTCAGTTTTGTGATACTGTTAATTTCCATGCTGCCCAGTGGAATGGTGTGATCTACGGGAAAATTAAAAAGAATTACATGGAGTAACAGCCTAGTTACCATGGTTATCAATAGGACTTCTGCTTAAGTAACGTAAGCCTGCCTGTTGTTTGGTCCTAGGGCTGAGGAATCTGATAGAAAACGGAAAGAAGAGAATCAATGAACTATATGCTCTAAAGCGTCAGCCTTTTATGCACAAAAGCAACTGGGCCCACAGGTGAAGAGTCCCCATGGCATGTATCAGGGCAGAGTATTGAAGAAAATTTAAAAAGGGAATATGCAAAAGGAACTGGGGTAGAAGTCCTGTTTAAAGAACAAAGGACTTAAAAATGTTTTAGCTCCTTCTTTCCCTTGCATTAAGAGTTACATGTACTTTTCAAAGGATTAACAGCTTTGATTATATACCTCACCTTTTTTTCTACTCTTCTTGTTATACGCTTCCACAATGGAAACTATCTCACCTCTAATTCATTTTTCCTTATTCAATGGAGAAGACTTAGCAAGCTTCTTGCTTGGTTCCAGTCTTCTGTGACTAAGGTGTAAATAAGAAATACACAAACCACATATTTTCCTTCTCTGTTATATAGAATCTTTGTAATATAGGATACTGGACACAGGATGGCACACAAAGACTTAAGACATGTGACTGCTAAAAAACTGGAATGGCTGAGGCAATAAAGCAGCTGACGTACAGACTATGGAATGTCCAAGAAGAAAATACCACTAAAGAGGTAAACATTAGATGCTGCCTCGGCTGGCTTTTCTGTCCTTGACTTTAGCTATCCAGTAAAAAAAAAAAAATAGGTATGGTAATGGGGACAATAAGGATAGGCAGAAGAGCTGGGAGGACTAAATTAGAGAAGGCATAGTAATAATGAAGAGGGACTTATTCATAAAAGCTTCATGGAACGTTTCTATTCTGAGCAGGCTTGTGGAGCAGCTAACCTATCTCCATGCCATGGGCAAGGGAGATTCTGATGCTCAGTCTAGATTTTGTCCCCTTTCTCTGCTGTGCTCAACTCCAAAGCCCATGGCCATGCTACATAGGAGAGCTCTGATACTGGTGCCAAGAACGGTTCATAGGACATTGAAGGAAAGTATTTTAAGCTGAAAGGTCACGTTAAATGCTCAGTAGTGAGCTATAAAAAGTGCCCCTGCTCACCTGTGAGAGAGAAAAAGGAAGGCTTTGGAAATCACCAAGAAAGGGAAACTCAGGGGGCAAAGGCACTGAAGGAGAGAAACTGGTTCTGCAGATTTATTGTACTATGCAATAGACGTCTCTGCATGGGGAGTCTAGGGTGCTTCCCAAGGACCAAAGTAGACCTGGGGATGTGGTTGGAATCTGGAGGCAATAAAGAGGCCCCCTGGGGACAGGGAAGTCTGTGCCAAGAATGGGCTGGACTCCAGTGGCGAAATCAAGATTTCCTAGCCTATGAAATTTTACTGGAGTCTTCACCTAAATGTGCAGGACTGCCTTTCATGTATGTCTATGTAGAACCTAAATCTCTGATGAGCTGCATGAGTTCCCACATCTGCAACACAAAGTCTGGCCTAGACACATTTAATGCTGCGGCGGTTGGTGACTTAGGCTGAAGAGACACAGGCGAGTAGAAAAGGCTCTGGTCTGAGGGCCAGAGCCCTGAGGTCTCCACTGTGTGGGGAATGATGGGAGGAGCCACTATTATGACCACCAGTGGCTGTCACGGCAGTCACCTGAGGAGACTGCTCTGAGGTGGAGTCTGCAGAGGCTTTAAATGTGAGGTGGCTCAGGGTTTTTGTGCAGTGATTACTTTTTCCTCCACCTCATTTCAACAGGAAAAGCTTACAGTGAAGTGCTCGCTGGACTCTGGCATGGGGTTTGGGGATGAAGAAATGACAGCATATTTTAGCTTTGGTCAGTTTCTGGATGTTGCACTTTCAAAGAACCCGTGGAAATTGTCCAGATTCAAAGACGCAGAAGTCGTGAAGGCCCTCGGAGTTGTTTCATCTAACCTCTCAGGCAGGGAGATGTTCCCCTACAGCAAGGGGCTGACTCACTGTCCAGCTTCACGCTCCATGTCATCTGGAAGCCATTGGTCATCAGGTAAAAATTCTTCACATCCTCAGGCAGCACACAGTTATTTTTCTGGAATCACAAAGCAGCTGTCAGGTCAGGGCTGGAGAAGAGAGCACAGAACTATGCCTCAAAGCAGCTGGGGACACTACCGTGGTTCAGATGCCCCAAAAGGGAAGACTGTGACAATTATCTACAAAACTTAGAGAGTTCCAGGTCAAAATAGCAACATAGGAGGTTCCTCAACTCACTTCCTCCCATACGCACCCAAATCTACAGCTACATACTGAACAATTCCCTTTGAAAGAAATCCAGAAACTAGCTGAATGATCCCTACACATCAGGCAAACAAGAAAAAACTCACTTTGAAATAGGCAGGAAAGGCTGAACACAAACGTGCCACAAAACCCACCCTTGGTGGGGTGGGCAACTGCAGGGGAACTAACGACACCTAGATTCTTCCCGAGAAGCATGGAGGTCAGATCCCACATCTGACACCCTAAGTTTTAAGATTTCCACCTGAGACATGGATCCCCCAAAACACTTAGCTCTGAAAGTCAATGGGGCTTGGGTCCAAGAGACGCACAAAGCTACAGCGCACCAACAGACAGTCCGTAAGGGGCTCACACCGCCTCACAGGGCTACCCTCCCAGGGCCCTGTGCAGAGCGGACTGGGATAAGGAGTCTTGTGGTGAAACAGGCCTACTTGTTATCTTCAGTGCTTCTGCCTGGGGAATAGGCTTCTTATTTAGATGCCACTACAATACTATCCAGAGACCCTGGAGGCCAGCAGGCCATATTTTCGTGCTTTCCTCTGCCTCACTCCAGGCTGCAGGTATCTCAGGGAAAGCTGTGTGAGCATGTCTGATACTCTGGCTTTTGCAGCTGCTGCTCAGGAAGCACACCCGTTGATTGACTGGTGCTGGTGGCCAGTTGCACTTACATTTCTGGGTCCGTACAGGACTGTAACAAACAGAATAACTGTTCGTAACTAGTTATATCCCCATGGCACAGCTGATAGGGAGCAGAATGAAATGCTCAGTCTTTCCTTGAAAGAGGCCTATTTACAGATCTTAAAGGATGAAGAGGGGCAGGCTGATAATTTAACAACACACAGGGGCCAACTGCAGTCCTCTCCAGAGACAGGGAGGACAGGGGATGCCATATTCACGCTCTCCCTCTGCCCCACCCCAGGTCGCTGGTGTCTGGGAATGGAGCCTGTGCACACATCGGGTGCCCCAGCTTTCGTGGCTGCTGCCCAGAAGACACATCCATGGACAGCTGGGCTCTGGTGGCCAGCAGGGCTGATGTTGACATGGTCAATGGGATCATAGCCAACAAGGAAACAGTTCTTAACTTGTCATCCCCTTTGGACTTGGTACAGAGGAAACAGACAGAAAAGCCTACCTCCCTGTCTTACCCTGAAAGAGTATTAACACATTATTTGCATGCAGCTTTCATTCAGCTGCATCTGGGTGCTCACTGAAATCCTCCCCTTGGAGACACTGACAGGGCTTGGCCCACGCTCACCTCTTGGGAGCCACCAAGCACAAAGTAGGCTGGATGGTCACAAGCATCTGAGAGAAAACCAAGAGCTAGCACAGGGTTGAAAAATAAGGTTCATCCCTCACATGATGCCACTCCTTCAAGACTGGGAGAGGTGACTTTTATCAAATGCACAGAAAACCAACAGAGTCAAGAAACATTAGAGGAGTATGTTCCAAATGAAAGAACAAGGTAAAACCCCAGGAAAAGACCTTAGTGAAACTGAAATAAGTGATTTACCTAATAAAGAACTCAAAATAATGGTCATAAAGATGCCAGCCAAGTTTAAGAGAACAATACATGAACAAAATGAAGATTTCAACAAAGAGAAAATATTAGTGCTAAACAGAAATCACAGAGGTGCAGAATACAATAAATAAAATGGAAAAAAAAATTCAAGAGGGTTTCAATAGCAGGCGAGATGCAGTGATAGAAAGGATCAGCAAACTTGCAGGCAGGGTAATGAAACGTATCCAATCAGATAAGCCAGAAAAAAAAAAAAAAAGAAGAAGAAGAAAGAAAGGATGAAAAATAGTAAAGATAATTTAAGAAACTTATGGGACATCAAGCAGACCCTTTACCATCATAGGCGTCCCAGAAGAAGAGACAGAGAAAGGGGCAGAAAGCTTATTTGAAGAAATAATGACTGAAAACTTCCCTAACTAGGGAAAGAAAACAGACATCTCAATACAGGAAGCTTGGAATTATAAAAAGAGATGAATCCAAAGAGACATTATAATTAAGTTGTCAAAAGTTAAAGATAAGGAGAAAATTTTAAAAGCAGCAAAAGGAAAAAAAAAGGAAACTTGTCACAAAGGAACACCTATATGACCATCAGGAGATTTTTTAGGCAGCAACCTGACAGGCCAGAAGAGATGGCACAATATATTCAAAGTGCTGAAAGAAAAAAAAAAGCCAATCAAGAATACTCTACCTGGCAAAGTTGTCCTTCAGAATTGAAGGAGAAATAAAAGCTTTCCAAAGAAGCAAAAGCTGAAGGTATTCATCACCACTAAACCGGCTTTATGAGAAATGTTAAAGAGACTTCTTTAAGCTGAAATAAAAGGGCACTAATTAGTAACAGGAAAACATATGAAAGTATAAATCTCACAGGCAAAGGTAAATTCATAGTTAAATTAAGAATAATGTCATAGTGGTGGGATGATCACTTAAAAATCTTGTATAAATGTTGAAAAACAAAAGTAGTAAAAATAACTATAACCCACAATAATTTGTTAATGGATACACATGATAAAGAAATATAAATTGTGAGATCTTTTTTTAATGTGTGGCAGGGAAGGAGAGTAAAATAAAAATGTAGAGGTTTAGAATGCATTCAAACCTAAGTTATTATCAACCTAAAACAGACTGTTATAACTCTAAGTTGTTTTAGGTAAATCTCAATTGTCCCCCCACAAAACAAAAACCGATAGTAGATACATAAAAAATAAAGAGAAGGCAATCTAAGCATACTACTACAGAAAATACAAATCGCAAGGGAAGAGAGCAAGAGAACAATAAAGGAACAAAGCAATTACAAAACAGCCAGAGCTCAATGAACAAAATGGCCATAAGTCCATATATGTTAATAATTTCCTTTATCTATAAATGGACTAAATTCTCCATTCAAAAGACAAGAAGTGGCTGAAAAGATTAAAAAGCGTAAGACCTGACTATATGTTGCCTACAAGAGACTCACCTCAGATATAAGGACACATACAACTGAAAGGGAAGGAATGGGAAAAGAGATTCTATTCAAATAGAAATCAAAGGTGAGGTAGCTATACTTACATAATACGAAATAGACTTTAAGACAAAGACTGTAATAAAAAACAAAGAAGGTCATTATGTAATGACAATCCAACAAGAGGTTATAACAATTTATAATTATACATCTAACATATAAGCATCTAAATATATAAAGCAAATATTAACACGTAAAAGGAGAAATAGACAGCTATACAATTATAGTGTGGAACTTCAATTTTCCATTTACATCAATGATACATCATCCAGACAGAAAATCAATATGGAAACATTGAGGTTAAATGATATTAGATCAGATAGACTTAACAGATATTAACAAAACATGCCATCCAAAGTCAGCAGAATATACATTCTCCTAAAGTGTGCATGGAACATTCTTCAGGATAGGTTATATATTAGACCACAACACAAGTGTCAGTAAACTTAAAACTGTAATCATACCGAGCACCACTTTGGGCCATAATGGTATAAAACTAGAAAACATTTACTAGAAGAACACAGAAAATTCATAAGTATATGATTGAACAACATACTACTGAACAACTAATTGGGTCAAAAAAATCAAAAGAAATAAAATAAGTTTTACAACAAATTAAAAATGTAAACACAACATATCAAAACTTACAGGATGCTGCAAAAGCAGTCCTAAGTGCAGGTTCATAGTGATAAATGCCTCCATCAAGAAGTAAGAAAGTTCTCAAACAATCTAAATTTATACCTCAAGGAACTAGAAAGGGAACAAACTAGGCCCAAAATTAGTAGAAGGAAGAAAATACCAAAGATCAGAGTGGAAATAAATGAAACAGAGATTAAAGAGATAACAGAAACAATTAGTGAAACTAAGAGCTGGTTTTCTGAAAAGATAAACAAAAGAGACAAATCTTTAGCTAGACTCACTAAGAAAAAGAGAATACTGAAATAAAATCAGAAATTAAAGAGGAGACATTACAAATGATACTACAGAAAGACAAAAGATCATAAGAGACCTCTATAAACAATTACACACCAACATATGGGATAATCAAGAAGTAATGGATAAATCCTTAGAAACAACACAAAACCTGCCAAGACTGAATCATGGAGAAACAGAAAATCTGAGCAAGTGAGGAAACGGAATCAGTAATCAAAACCCCGCAACTCAGAATGGATTAAAGACCTGAACGTAAGACTTGAAACCATAACATTCCTAGAGGAAAATATAGGGGAAAATAAGCTCCTTGACATTGGTCTTGGCAATGATTTTCTGGATTTCACACTAAAGGCAAAGGCAATCAATAAAAGAAAAAGAAAACAGAAAACAAACATAAACAAACTAAAGAGCTTCTGTATAGCAAAGGAAATCATCAACAAAATGAAAAGACAACCTAGAGGAGAAAATATTCACAAATCATACATCTGATAAAGGATTAATATATAGCATATACAGAATATAGTATTTTTCCCAACATGTAATAACCAACATATAAAGAATTCAGACAACTCAATAGAAAATAAATAATCATTGAAAAATGGACAGAGAAACTCAACAGACACTTTCCTAAAGAAGCCTTACAAATGGCCAACAGGTACATAAAAAGGTGCTTAACATCACTAATCTTCAAGGAAATGCAAATCAAACTGCAGTGAGATATCACCTCACATCTATCAAAATATCTATCATCAAAAAACCAAGAAAATAAAAAGTGTTGGTGAGGATGTGGAAAACAGTATGAAAGTTCCTCAAAAATTATTAAAAACATACAACAGGATATAAAGAAATA